CAGGACCCTGAGCCGAAGGCAGACGCTTAACCATCTGAGCCACCCAGGCGCCCTGGGCCAAGGAGATTTTTAATAACTGTCTGTTAAAAGTATTTTTTAAATTTAGGTAGTTTGTTAAGCTTACAGCACTTTGCGTAACACAGAGATGTGTTAGGATAAGGGACATGGGAGTTCTCAAACTCTGATGGCAGTTTGGGAGGACGGGTGTTCCCCACGGACAGAAGGGGTTTTATTCATTCCTGTGCCCCCCACACAACCGTTCCTCCCTCTAGTGAGAAACCTCTGACCTCTGGTCACAGCAGTCTCAGTGAAAACAGAGGGACGAGGATGCCTGTCGCCATTCTGGGAGACAGATAACAAGGCTAATGCTTATGCAACACTTACGTGGAGCTTTCTATGTGGCCACTACATTCTGAGTGCTTTCCATGTGTTAACTCATTCATCTCCACATTAATCCTACGATCAGCCTATTTTACAGATGGGGAAACTGAGGCCCGGAGCAGCCACGTGATGTGGTCCCACAACCAGAAGTGATGGAGCAGGATCCAAGTGGAGGCAGCCAGGCTGTTGACCTCCACACCGCACTGCTCCATTGCTCGTCCACCCCAGCCTTCCCCATTGCCTCGTAGGGTGGAGCTGGGCAGTCAACTCCATTACCAAGTTGAACTCTTGGCCAGAGGTGCACAATCACAGGTAACTGAGGATAACCTCTCAAGGCAGGTGCCCACGGCAGGAAATGGTACTGGCCCCGAACCCCTGGGCCCACCCCCTCTTTCCAAGGCAATGCTCCCACTCATCAGCTCCAGCTCCTGGAATCCCAGGTTTGTTCATTACCCACACCCCAGAGTCACTCCCTGGTCTTGAAAGGCCAAGGTAGTCTTGAGGTAGAGTGAGTGACGTCACTGGGAGGGTGGCCCAGCCTCCTGGAATCCAGGGGGGAAGGGGGTTTGTGGGCCACGGTAGGATGGATGCACTGCACACACACAGCCCCCTCTCTGATAGGAGGGATTCCAAGCACCGTGGGCCACGTTTTCCTCAGCTACTCTGAGCAATGCTTCTCACCTGTGGGCCATCCCTTGCTGCCCCGCCCGGCAAAGGGGAGCCCCATAGAATACAGTCAGACCAGGTACGGATCCGGCCGACCCCAAGATGGCACCTTCCTCTGTAAGCTTCTCAGACTTAGCAGAGACAGGGCATGTGCCTGGGACTCCCAGTGGGTGCCGCCCCGGCGTCTGCCCCAGTGTTTCTAGAGACAGAGCACTCACTACCTCCCAAGGCAGCTGACCCGTTTTGAGTGACACCTTGACGCAATGCTTTTATTGTAGACTCTCTTCCATGATAACTTCCCCAGCTACATTTAAATCTCCATGGAGACAAAACGCTGGTTGAGGTCATCTTCTAAAAGTCTTGCAAAATCTTTTAGGTACAATGTGCTTAATACATTCTTACTAATGACTGAGATCTTATCAAGGGTCAAGAAAGCAAGAAAAGAAAAAGTGCCCAGTTTTAATGCCAGGACTGGGATCCCTGGGGGAAGGAGGGAGCTGGAATTCCTCCTCTCAGAGAAGGGGCTGTGTGTGTGCAGTGCATCCATCCTACCGTTTAACGAGCACTCGGTGCCCAACCCCTTGCATGAATCCCCGCAATCCTGAGAAAAAGGGTGTTGCTGCTATCTCTGTTTTACAGAGAAGGAAACTGAGACACAGAGAGGTTAAGGAACATGCCCAAGGTGACCCAGCTTGCAAGCAGCAGAGGTGGGATTTGAATCCAGGTCCATGTGTTTTGGAGCCCTGGGTGTGCGAGACTCCTCCTCGAGAACCCAGGGCCCAGCGGACTCCTCCTCCAGGGAAAAGGTGGATGGCATAAAAAGGTTTTGTTGTCTCTGAAATGTAAAAGAAAAAAGAAAAGATCTCGGTAAATTCTAAAAGGACTAAAAGACAACTCCCCTTCCCCCAAGTAACTGAGATCTCATGAGAGGAAGCCAAGACCACATCCTAACTGACTCTGAGACTCTGAGCTCCCCCAAGTAGGGTCTAAGTCAGGGTCAAGTTTGTATCCCGGGTACTGGAAACAGCCTGGCACAGAGGCAGGAGCCCTCAGATGAGTAAGGAATGAGGGAGGGAGGAGTCAGGAAGATGAGGCTGGAAGCTCCAAGCAGGGAGGAGCGCTGACTGCAGCCCGGAGGGCAGAGCCACGCACGTGCCACGCTCCGGCTGAACCCTGCCTGCCCACGCAGCCGCGGCCACGGCGCCCCATGCCTGTGTTGGCCTCTCCAGAAAACCCACGAGGGCGAGAGACAGGATGACACTTGGCACCCAGAGAACTTCTCAGGGGTTGGAGGCTCGGGGAGGCTGCAGAATCTTGTTCCTGAGGGAGGAGGCCAGGGCTGATGGCCGCTCCCCAGGTATAAGTCCCCCCCACCACCACCACCAGGAAGAGGAAGGAGGGCAGGGGCAGGAAGAGGGGGTGGTAGAGGGAAAAGGGCAGAGAGAGGTCCGAAGAAGGGAGGGAGGGAGAGGAGAAGGGGCTGATGGGGAGGTGTCCGAGGAGGGCGGGACCCTCCCTGGAGCCCAGCTCCGAGCACCAGAAACCACGCCAGAGCACAGGAGCAGGACTCGCCGGGGTCCTACGCTGCCCTTTCAGCTGGTGGATGGTGGGAGGTCCACGGGGTCCGGAGGAGGAGCTGGGGGATGGCAGGGGGTGCGTGGTGGGGTCGGGGGGACAGTGACTGTCGGCTAACCCTCTGCTGCCTCTGGTCACCCATGCTTGCAGGTGGCCGGAGGGCAAGGGTGCCGCTCCCAGTGCCCAGGACCCCAGAAGTGTATCCTCCATGCTGACGAGTGAGGGGAAGCCTCCGTGCTAGCCGCCCACATCTACCTGGGAGGCACGTGGTGTAGCCCAGAGCGTGGTGCTGCGCCGCTGGGCACACCTGGGTTCAAATTCTGACCAGCCCGCTTACTCTCAGTGTGGCCAGGCTCACCCCAAAGCCTCAGCCGCTTCACCCGGGAAATGTGATGGCAGCCCCCACCTCACAGCACCCGCGGGAAAGAGGCTCCTCCCTCCTCCTTTTGCTCTGGGCTCCCTCCTTGGGCCTGTAGGGTGGGGGTGTCCCTCCCCTCCCCCTCTCACAGCACCCTCCTCAAGGGGCCTCCCTGAGCCTCGGAAAACAGAGATCCGTGACTTCCCATTTCACAATGAAACCCAGAGCTTCACTCCTTCATGCCCCACAAGAGTGATTCACAACCCTGGCTACACATTAGGGTCATCTGGGGACCTTTTTCAAAACTGCGGATGCCTGGCCCCCCCACCAGCAGATCTGAGCGAATGGATCTGAGCTGGAGCGGGGCATCCTTGCTTCCTCCGTGTTCCCCGGCGACCTCACCAGCCCGCTGGGCCTCGGTGCCCCAGCCTGCCTCCTCCTTGCTCACACACACACACACACACACACACGCACGCACACACACACACACACACACACACGCCCTTCAGGGCCTTTGCTGGAATGCTCTGTCCTTGGGGGTCCACATGGCTCCCCCTCACAAGTCACTGCTCCCCCCTGATCTTGAGAGCCTCCACCCCAGGCCATCACATCTCCCCTGACCCTGCTTGATTTTCCTTTATCACACTGCTGACCCCTTGATGTGCCTTGTGGTTATTTGGGTGACCGTCTCTCTAAGCTCTATGACAGCAGGGACGTTGCTGGTTTATTCACTGCCCCATCCTCAGGGCCCAACACAGTGCCTGGCACACAATGGGTACTTGACCAAAATCTGGGTAAAGGAAGGCCCTCTCTGCCTGTAGGCCTGAGCTCCTGGAAGGTGAAGGCGGACACATGCATCTGGGTGTCCTGGCGCCCAGCACAGGACCAACCAGTCTGTGTCCAATGCATGGTGCTGATGATTTGCTCTGGAGACCGAAGGTGGTGGAATGCTGTGGAGCGTCGCGACGGGAAGGAGGGGTCTGAGCAGATGGAGGTGGAAAGATGGGCCGCAGGGGCTGAGTTGCTTCAAGGAAGAAAAGAAGGAGGTCTGGCCTACCACTTAGCCGGCCCAGGCGGCCCGGTAGGGCGAAGGCAGTGGTGGCCTGTGGGACGTCAGCCCTGACCACCGGACCATACAGTAGGGGCAGGACAACGGGAACCCACAGGAAGGCAAGGGTGGGGCAGGGGAGAGCCAGCCCCAGGCCCCACCCCCAGCCCTGCAGCCATCACTGATTAGGATCTTTTGTCAGGCAGCTGCGGGCTCTTGCAAACCACAAATGCCCCCCCCCCTCCCCCAAGGCCAAGTGGGTGTGGTGAAGGGAAAGGCCAGCGGGGACCAAGGCTGCTGGACAGGTAGGGTCAGGAGGTATCGTTTGGGGCGTGGCATTCTCACAGTGCTCTTGGGAAAGCAAACCTGGACACCGAACTGGAGAGCAGAGCAGGATGTGGAGAGCTTTGGGAGAGACAAAGGAGGCTGTGTGCCCTCAAGATAAGAGGCGGTCTGGGCAACAGAAGGTGGATTCAAAGTTTGTAGAAATTGCTGCTGGATTGGATTAGTGACATGTGCACCCTCCTTCTGTGCCCTGGCCTTGGCCATCCCCCATGTCAACCCTCTCTTAAACCGCCTCTCCTTCCCTCCCAAGAGGTCAGGGAGCCGTTGGGTTGGGGGAGCGAGAGGGGCAGCCCCAGCAGCCGGCTCCTAGACCCCTCCCCTGGGCTCCCTCTGTGCTCTCCTGGCCAGACCCACCCCTCAGGCCCCGTCCCTGGGCGAAGGCCGCCTCAGCTCCTCCCCACAAGGCCCAGAGCTGACTTCCGGCTCTGGAGGCAGCAACATCCGGAATATGGCAGGAAGGGTGCAGGGCACCCCTCCCATGCCCAGGGTGGGTTCAGAGATGCACGCGAACCAAACTCTCTGTCCGCTTTAAATATATACATATACAAGCAGGCCCCACCCACACTCATGAGGCCTGGAGAAGGGCCTTCCATCCTCCCTCTTTGGCATCGATCCGTCAAAATCAGCTTTTCTGTACAACATGAATTAAATATATTATCTGTCTTTGTGCTGAGTCACGGGACATTCACAGTACAGTGCAGGGAGGAGGGGAGGGACTCGTGGGGAGGCCAAGACCCTCCAGGACTGCTCCTCAGGCTGAGGGGTTGGGCTGGGCAGGGGGCTTGCGTAGAGAAGCCGGGCCTGGCCTCCCCTTGGCCTTGCCATTGGAGATTCAGCCAAGTGTCGAGACCTTGGGGATACAACAGGCGTGCTCGGAAGGGGTGGTGAGGGGGAGCCTTCTTCGGGGCTGCAGGCCCTCTGACTCCCAGCCCCCTAGGGCGGGATCAAAGCCTGTGCGTCCTATCCCACCTCCCTCCACCTTAGACTGAGGCATTTACACCCTGCCCTCTGGGAGCCCGGGGGCATGGGGAGGCTGGTGCCAGGATAGGGTGGAGCATGGACCGGGTCCTAGGGGCCGGGAAGGAGGGAATAGGGGAGGCTGTGAGAGCCCCAAGGAGCTGAGGCTGGCCTGGCACCAGCATCGAGGTGACCCTGCCTATCTGGTTGTCATCCCCCGGACCTCGGCCCAGGGCTGGCTTATCAGGACCCAGGCATGATAAGCAGGAGCCACTTTCGGGAAAGGGTGGACAGGTAGGAGCTTGGGTTAGAGCTCCAAGGGCAGTGAGTGCTCTACCACCTGCCAATTTAAGGCAATCCTGTTCAGAATGGGGAGATGGGCGGGAGCCAGCTGAGGTGGCGGAGTGCAGCTGGTGGGACCAGCCACCTCTGGACTCAGCTGGGCATCCAGCAGCAGATGGGGCCTCTGGCCAGGAGAAGGAAATGGGGACAGGGTGAGGATGTGGAGAAGTAGGGCTGGGCTCCTCTTCTCTGCTGCTCTAGGGACACCTGCCCTTCGGGTGGGGGGTGGGCTTTGGCACACACATGGGCACCCAGGATTCCAGGCTCCTAGACAAGGTGGCCCGAGCTTCCTGCTCTCAGAGGGGAAGCAAGTGAGTGACGTGTGGGCAGGCAGCCCCTGGCGGGGAGGTACGGGGGTACCCACGTTCGGGGCACAGTGCTCAGCCTGGCGCCTGGATTCTCCCGTCTGTGTGGGTCCCACGCTGGTGCCCAAGCACCTCAGGGTGAGAAAGGGTCTGCGGTCCCCCCACTCCCCACCTCCTCATCTCCCCCCAGGAAAGGAGCTCAAGCCCAGCTCCAGGGCTGACGACAGAGGGGTTGGTGTCGAGGTGAAGGCCACAGGGGAGGCTTGTGGGAAGCAGGAAGAGGAAACAGCCGTGGCCAGCAGGGCTGCCAAGAGGTCTTCTGGGCCAGCCATTAGCCCTTGTTCCTCAGTCCTCCCAGGGCCACACAGGCCCCATCCTGCCCGCCGTTGTGCCCTTGTGCTCGCTGTGACCTCTCGTCCCTGGGGGTCCTGGGGCCGCAGCAGGGTGGGCGCGGCTCAGAAGATGCTCTGCCGCCGGCTCTTCCCTCGGCCTGGAGAACAGAGGGGAAGGGATGGGGCTGCAGAGAGGAGGCTGGACAGCAGGGTGTCCCGGGGACCAGGAGCAAAGGGCATCTTCCAGGGCTATTCTGCTCCCGGAAGCCAGTAGGTCCTGGGTTCAAATCCCAACTCGATTACTTACCAGCTGTGTGAGATTGTGACCTAACTCCCCTGTGCCTCAGATCCATTGATTACGAAATGGGGAGCCTGGATAGTACCTATTTCAGGGCACCTGGCTGGCTCCGTCGGGAGAGCCTGTGATGCTTGATCTTGGGGTCGTGAGTCTGAGCCCCACACTGGGTGTAGAGGTTACTTAAAATACACACACACACACACACACACACAAAAGGTACCAACTGCAAGGGGTGTTTTAGGATTATACGAAATAACGCACTTGTCACATCTGAGGCCTTCAGCTGTTCTAGAGACAAGGTATGGTTCCCCCGGAATGGAGGCGGGAGAATTCAGGGTTTGCAAACAGAATGTAGCCCAGAGAGCGTGCCCCTTCCTCAGGGCTCTGTCAGGTGCAGCGTTGTGTCTGGGCTGGGGGCTGACAAGGGACACACTGGAGGGAGGAAGCCTGGGCAGGAGATAGGGAATCCAGCTCCTTCCCTGCTCCCCATGGGCCCCCCCCCCCGCCCCCAAAGGAGGCCAATGTCGGGGAGGGGGGCATGCTTATTCCTCACTCTGTTCTTCAAGAGGGAGGAGCAGCCTGCCCTGGTCTCCCCTAATTAGGGGAGGGGGTGGGGGAGGCATGAGCCCCTACCTGGCTGCTGGAAGGCCAGGCCCCGGTAGCCCGGGTCCTTCTGGAGCTGGATCTCCTTCAGGGAGAAGATGGACGCCGCTGTGGGGAGAGAGGAGAAAGGTAGGGAGAGAGCCGAGCCCACAGGGGCCCCCACGCCCACAGAGCGCCCGCTGGCTGGGGAACCCCTATCATTCAGGGCTGGCCCAGGAGCCCCTAGCTGGGCCTTGCAGGCGGCTTCCCAGATCCCCCAGTTTTGCCCCTGAGTCACAGACGGGACCCCGAGGAGGGGAGGCCCAGGCTGCTGGGCCTCTTTGTCCCAGCTCTTCCCCCCACAGCGGACGGCCCCTGTCTTCGGTTCCGGGGTGACCCCG